GGAGCTCCCTTCTCATCAGGGCAGAGGCAGAAAAGGATCTTGGAGTCATCACTGATGACTCCAAGCAGCGTGGGGACGCAGTCAGGAAGGCCAACCGCACCTTGTCATGCATACACAGATGCATCTCGAGCAGGTCCAAGGAGGTGATCCTCCCCCTCTATGTGGCACTGGTCAGGCCGCAGCTGGAGTACTGCGTCCAGTTCTGGGCGCTGCACTTCAAGAGGGATGTGGACAGCATGGAGAGGGTCCAGAGGAGGCCACTCACATGATCAGGGGGCAGCAAGGCAGGCCCTACAAGGAGAGGCTACGGGACCTGAACCTGTTCAGCCTCCACAAGAGAAGGCTGAGGGGGATCTAGTGGCCATCTACAAACTAGTCAGAGGGGACGAGCAGGCACTGGGGGAGTCCCTGTTCCCCCAAGCATGACCAGGAGTGACTAGAAATAATGGTCACAAGCTGGCAGAGGGTAGATTCAGGCTAGACATCAGGAGGTGCGACTTCATGGTCAGGGCGGCTAGGATCTGGAACCAACATCCGAGATAAGTGGTGCTGGCTCCTACCCTGGGGGGCTTTAAGAGGAGGGTAGATGTACACCTTGCTGGGGTCGTTTGACCCCAGTGCTCTTTCCTGCCATGGCAGGGGGTCGGACTCGATGATCTGCTCAGGTCCCTTCCAACCCTACAAACTATGAAACACATTTTGGAGCTGCATTTTGGAGGATGCAGGATTTAGTATTTAGAGCAAAGATCCCTGGACTGCCTAGGGAAGGTGTGAACTCTCCATCACTGGAGGTGTCCAAGAAGAGACTGGACAAGCATTGGTCAGTGATGATCTCGGTGTAGCAAAGCCTGTGTTCTTCTATGGGAATTTCCCAGGCTTGAGTTTTGCTGGTTGCCACACAGGGCCAGGAGGGACTCCTGCTGCTATGTGTGTCAGGGTGTTTTTAAGCCTCCTCAGAGGCATTGGGTTTTGGCTGCAGCCCAGGACTGGGACATAAACCTAGAGGTTCCTGGCTAGAGGGTCTTGGCCCTCTGCTCAGGGTCAGACTGATGCTATATTTGGGGTCAGGAAGGAATTTTACCCCATGGTCCTATTGATACCGACTGGGGGGAGGGTTGCCTTCCTCTGCAGCTAGAGGCACAACCTCTACCTGGGACCTCTTGAACATATATTAACCACCTTTAGAGCAGCAGGATGTAGGTCTCCCTGCTTTACCTGTGCTAAGCTCGGGGGTGATATCTTGTGTTACATCAGGGTTGACCATGTGGTTTTACTAAGAAGCTGGACAATGGATTTACACAGGATGCTTTGGACAGGACTGATTCTGCCTCAGGCAGGGAGCTGGACTGGATGGTCTCTGGAGGTCCCTTCCACCCAACTTCTCTAGGATTCCAGGCAGAGCCCAAGCGAAAATGCATTTCCATGGCACAGGAAATTCCCACCCTGTTACCCAGACTGGATCGATGCTGGAATGCCATGCACATCACAGAACAAAGTGCTCCCGAATATCAGCCGCATCCTGCCTGCAGCTTGTCTCCATGCACCACACTCCGGTGACTCCCCCATCACGCTGGAGCTGTGGCCAAGAGAGACCCAGGTGCTCCATGGCAAAGACCAAGACCATGATGGAGGCAAACTGCAACTCCCAGGAGGCATTGGGGGGCGTAGGTGAACATGGAGCTGCCTCAGAACAGAGTTGCAGCCCAGTCCAGCAAGCTTGACTGTTCCTAGTTGCCTCAAGCTGCCCCAAATGACGTCTCATTTTGCCTTCCATACTGAGAAACTGGGGGTGGGGGATTAAGAATAAATAACAGGAGCCTCTGGTCACTCTGGAACTGAGCCGCTGCTTCTCTCCGGGCTCCCAGCTATTGTAAGGGCCAGGCTTAGACCAAGCCCAGCAGTACGGGAAGGACCTTCACCTCTATGTTCTTGCAGGTGCCTTGCAAGCGACCGATGAAGGCTTGGATCCCATCGTTGGCGGCAACAAGGGCTCCGATCCCATCCGTCAGCTCAGTCTGTGGGCGAGGGTGGTGAGAGTTAAGCATCAAGAGCATCCCCTGCTTTGATCCCAAGGGGGTAGAGATTGTCCCTGCTCTCCAGAGCCTGCCATCCCTGCCGCTGTGACTTCCTCACTCACATCTCTGCTGCCAACTGGGACCTTTCTGAGCCCCGCTCCCCAGCACTGGCATCCTCTGCAGAAGTTGAACTCCAGCATTCATGGGCAAAAGTGGACAGTGCCATCACTGTCTGTGCAAGTAGCCTGAGCACTTCTGCAGGGGGGCCGCTTCTACATCCTCATCGCTGGCATGGACATCCTCCTCATTCAGCCCCTACAACCACCAGCCAAACAATCCCCAGCCCTGCCCATCTAGCTGCCACATGCTCTGTTCATGGATCCCCCCTCCCCATGTGTAGGGTCAGGCTCTGAATTTCTACCCAGGGGCAGGCCGCAGGAGACCCTGACTAATCCCAGCTGGGGACCTCTTGCTTGACCTCAACTTAGCCTTGACCATAACCATAACCTCTCCCGGCCTCAGCTCTACTGTCTAAGGGAAGGCCCCCCAGCCTGACAGGGATGCTAGGAAACCTAATGCGCAGTGAGCACCTTTGGAGAAAAGTACTGACATGGCATCACATGCCCATGCCAGTCTCTGCTTGCTCCTGCCCCAGGTCCTGGGCAGTCCCACACAGCAGGCTAAATGGCAATGCCAAGCTCTGCACCTGATCCTGGAGAGAAGAGCTGGAAGAGTTGTTGCTGCACTGGCATGCTCATACCAGCCTGCCAGCAGTGCTGAGAGCCTCACCAGGGGCTAGCGGGCAGCTCCATAGGAATGCAATCCTTACTTCCCCCAACCAAGCTGGGTGCCCCCATGGCTCATCCCAGGGAGGGACCGACCTTCTGCTGCATGTAGATGTCGGACAGGGGTGCAACCTCGCAGTCCTTGTGCTCCCCAAAGACCTTGCACAGGGAGCAGGTGGGAACCCGGCACGTCACACAGTAGATGTTGATCCGCTCCTCCTCATGCTCCTCGCACCGTGGCTGCTCTGTTTTTAGCAGGGGCCTGGAGCTGGACAGGGGGAAGGAGGGAGAGGTGTTAAGATCCTCTTGGGGGGGGGGGGGGGAACACATGACACTGTCCCTGGCCAGAGGCAAGGGAGCAGCAGTGGGTGGTGTGGATTTCTTCTGAATTTTTTTTCTTTCGCTGGGGGGTTGTTTTCTTGTTTTACTGTTTTC